CCTTCATTCGACACGAAATTCACAACCCAAATCAAGATCAAGAACTCAGCCAACTGGGGTTCCTACAAGTTCAATGCTGCCAATGTCACGTTTCAATACCAAGGCGAGACTCTGGTAGTAATTAATATTGAAAAGGGCAAGGCTGGATGGCTTTCGACCATAAAAAGAAATGCGGAGGTGAGCTTGAATTCAAGTCGAATAACTGGTTCAAATCTGGGCAGCGAATTGAGCAGCGGGGTGTTGACGCTCAACAGCGTAGGCAGATTGAATGGAAAAGTTGCAATTATGTTCATAATGAAGAAGAAGAAGGCTACCAACATGAACTGCACCATAGCTTTTGATGTGGCAGCCAAGACGCTCAAATCTTTACAATGCAAATGAGCAGAGTAGCTAAGCATCCAGGATGCATCTTCAGCATTTGGATTGCGACTAGCTAGTTCTTGATTTGTGTGACTCTTCTTATTCTTTTTATTCTTTGTATCTGTGTGGCGATTGGATTTGTCATAGAATTTTAATGGTATTTGTTTTCATTACCACTCACCTGTAGTTATTCCGTGATGATGTATTCTATAATACTTAATTATCACCAATTGCTCTTGTGATGATGTTAACTTATATTCATGTACTCCTTCATTTATTATAGGGTATACTAGTGATTTGCCCCCTAAACTTGTACCTAAATTTTTTATTATAGAAAATTAAGGATATGAACTTTTTTTTTTCTTTCACCAATTTCCCCCCTCCATCTAAATCCACAACATTTCATCCAATTTCCCATTAAATATGAGGGCAAATTGATCATTTCCATATAAAAATAATATAAAATTTGAAATAATAATAATAGAAATAAAGTTCATAAAATAAAATAAAAACCTCACATGCCATATATATATATATATATATATATCTCTCTCTCTCTCTCTCTCTCCCACTCTCTACAATCCCTTCTTCCCCAAATCAACCACAGCCACATACACAAACGCCGCAAAACCCCGAAAACCAACCCTAAGACGAAGCCGTTCCCAGCGACAAACGCAAGCGATCGTCCCCCCTCTATGGAAGACCAGCCTCTACTCCTACTTCAGGAGCAAGTCCGCTTCTGCTGGAGGAGGAGGATGACGTGAATGGAAGACCAGCCTCTGCTCTTACGTGGGACTCGACCTCTGAGCGTGCGAAGCAGCAACAGTTGGAGGAGGAGGACGGTGCGAATGGGTTTGGGTATGTGGGTGGGGATAAGGTTTTCTTTTTGGTTTTTTGGATGTGGGGGTGGATTGCAGGTGGGGAAGGGGGTGGATCATTGGCTGCTGTGATGGCATTGGACTAGTTGAGTTGAGGGATAGGGAGGAGTTGTTCTGTGTCAGTGAGATGAGTGGTTGGTTGTGGTGATTAGGTGTGTAGAGTAAATTTTTTGGGGGAAGAGAGAGAGAGAGAGAGAGAGAGAGAGAGAGAGAGTGTGTGTGGTGGCTATAGGAGGGTGGGCTGATAAGAGGGGAGGTGGTGGTGGGGAAGGGGGTGGCCTTGGGTCTGGGGTTGGGTAAGAGGTCTGGTTGATGCGATGGTGGGGAGAGGTGTGGTGGCGATGTCGGAGAAGAAAGGTGAAGGTTGTTGGGAGGGGGTTTTATTTTTCTCTTTTCTTTAATTTTTTCCAAAAAAAATAATTATTTTTAATGATTTAATAGAAAATTGGATGAAATGTTGATGATTTAGACGGCAGGGGTGAAATTGGCAAAAAAAAAAGTTCATATCCTTAATTTTCTAAATTAAAAAAAAAGGATATGGGCTAATTGAAACCTAAGTACAAGTTCAGGGGGTATTTCACCAGTTAACCCTTTATTATATGATATTTAGTTATTTATACTATGCTTCTTTAAAGTTGTTGAAATTATTCTCTAATGGTGGGTGCAAGAAAACTATTGTCATGGAGACTGAATAATTGAAAACATTGAAGTCACCTAAGCCAAATGCGGTTGCTTTCGATTCGACAACTATCGTCTATGATACTTGTTGCCGTTCTGTTTTTGTTATTTTGTTCTGGATTAGGGGTTTTCGTTTTGTATATACTTGTTCCTCTGAACGGCACGGAAGCACTATTAAAGAATACAAAATTAAAATAAAAGGCAACAAAGGAGAAGTAAAATGTAGTTGGTGTGGCTGATGATCACTGAGAAAGGTTTGCTAATTGTTTAGTATGGCATGAGGTAAAGAGCCTCAACATGAAGCAGATGAACAGAAAAATGGAATTGTAGAACAAGACACAAGTTGAGATGAGAGCATTGGACACAGAAGCTAGTCACATCAAAGGAGACATCTTTTGTTTTGTAAGACCTCCATTGACCACAACTGAAAATTACATACAAAGTATCTCTCATTATATAGTCAGAAACCTGAAAGAAAGTAAAAGGAAAAACAGGAGCCTCTGGTTGAAAAGAATATATAAATCACAATATGATTCTACAAAAAAATCCTACCTAAAACAGAGAGAAAATAATGAACAAAATAAACATCAAGAAATAGGCTTCCTGCCTCACTCGCGCAACAAATGGGGATCACTCACTGCTGACCTTAATTTCTCATTACTTGCATTCCAAAGCTTGAATTGCCTTTGTTGACACAAATCAAATTTCATGGTGCAGTCCACTGTGGCAGACATCAATTCCACTTTACTGGTCAATTTAGCTTCGCTGCTCAGCGTCAACACCGCCGTGCTCAGTTCACTGCCAAGATTGGAACTGCTTGGCAATCCATTTGAATTCAAACTTGCCTCCACATTGATCTTTTTGGTGGAAAGCATTCCAGCCTTGCTCTTTGGGATAGCAGTTTGTCCCACTGTCGCATAGGGGCGGCCCTATAGGGTGGTGCAAGTGGCGTCACCGCACAGGGCCCCCCAAAAAAAAAATCATTTATATTATACTTTAGTGTGCTGCATATTATCACAAATGTGTGTGTGGCGGAGCTGGCTTTGTAGCACATATCCCTTAATAGAAGGGTCCGTGTTCGAGTCTCATTGAAGTCATTCTACCCGATGTGAATCATAGTTTTTTTAATTTTGGGGAAAAAACTCTGTACTAGTTTTAATTCTTCAAATAAACATAACAAATACAATGTGAATGACTTTTGGATAGTAAGGTATGTTGTTGTCATTACATGTTTATTGATTATGACTTTTAGTTATAAGTATTTTTGTATTAGATTATGTGAGGCCCTAATTTAAGTTTTGCATAAGGTCCTCAAAATCTCAAGGACAGCCCTGCTGTCACACCCTGGTATTGAAACGCAATAGTGATTGCATCGAACTTGTAGGGGCACCAATTTGTGTTCTTGACCCTGATTTGGGTTGTGAATTATGTGTGGAATGAAGGTGTTGTTGGGACAGTAGTCATTGGTTTCTTAGAATTTCAAAATTGGCCAATTGCCTATATAGTTTAATAATAATGTGAGTTAGGTGAGGAGCTTTCTATTGGTATATTCATCAAATGAAGGCGTAACTTAACCCGCAACTTCTTTCTTTGATTATATATACCAATAATTTGCCAATACTATTAACAATGTGACCAGTGACATGTGGGATAGATCCCACAGCATGTTCTCACCTGTATTATTTAGAAGATTTGATCTATGCACAGAAGCTTCTATATTGATATTTAATTCATGTGTCCATCTACTCAAAGCGAAAAAGCGTAAAGGCTCCTCAACAAAGTCATCCATCATCTAGAAGTCAATAATTCTTACATTTGGACGCGTTTGGTGTGTGCCATAAAACTCTTCCCCTGGAACTCACATTTTCCAGGAAATTCATTCCACCTCATACTATAAATAAGAGACTACTCTCCATCATTTCCACAAACAACTCCCTCCATTTCCAAGTTTCATATCTTAGAAAACCAAACTCCTCAAAAGCAGATAATTTTCTTTTCATTGATATCAGAAAAAGAAAAACCGAGAAACATGGCAGAGAAAACTCAACAGGCTTATCCTTCAGCACCAGCAAACCATGGTTACCAAAGAAGTGATGCAGAGTCTTTGGAAAATGCTGATGAGCTGAAACGCAAGAAGAAAATCAAAATGGCCATATTTATTAGTATTTTTGTTGTTTTTCAGATCATAGTTATCACCACAATGAGTCTCACTGTCATGAAAGTTAAGACCCCCAGGTTCAGGCTAGGCAACATCAACGTCCAAAGCTTCGAATCTGTCCCGGCAACGCCTTCATTCGACACGAAATTCACAACCCAAATCAAGATCAAGAACTCAGCCAACTGGGGTTCCTATAAGTTCAATGCTGCCAATGTCACGTTTCAATACCAAGGCGCGACTCTGGTAGTAATTAATATTGAAAAGGGCAAGGCTGGATGGCTTTCGACTATAAAAAGAAATGCGGAGGTGAGTTTGAATTCAAGTGGAATAACTGGTTCAAATCTTGGCAGCGAATTGAGCAGCGGGGTGTTGACGCTCAACAGCGTAGGCAGATTGAATGGAAAAGTTGCAATTATGTTCATAATGAAGAAGAAGAAGGCTACCAACATGAACTGCACCATAGCTTTTGATGTGGCAGCCAAGACGCTCAAATCTTTGCAATGCAAGTGAAAACAGCTAGGACACATCTCTATAATGATGTGGATTTTGGATTGATGAAGAGTATTTCTTGGATTATTTTTCGTCATTGATATTCTTTATTTATATAGCTATTTATGAGTGACACTTGTATTGTATTTTGTTGTAAAATTATGATACTAGTTTACCTTTTTAATCACTGAACCGTCGCTATTCTTTTTACTGGGGTGTGCTTTCGTTTGATAATTGGCAAATTAATCAATTTGCAACTAACTTTATGTTGGTTTAAATGATGCATCTTGTTTATCCAATAAGGCCAATATATTTGCAGAAATCGGTCTCTTAGGATCAATCTTGAAATAGAGGAGCAGGATTAGGGGTCTACGTTTTCCTTTGTTGTCAAACCATATACATATATTAGAGAGAAATGAGCATTTGAAAATTACAGAAGTTAACGAACAAAAGAAGTTAAAAAAGTAACAGAACATGTAACTTGTTGGAGCTTTTGCATTTGCACTTTGCACTTCAAACATAACTAGCATGACTTGACATGCCCTAAACGTATTAATTATTAAAACACTTTTTTCACATTTATAAAAATAAGGATTAAGGGGGACAGGGCACTCTATTAGGAGCACGGTTCTCACTGATCGCTTTGCGAAAGAAGAGTAGGCTGCTTAATTAGTCTGACGACCGAACCCTTATGTGTACAAAGGCTCACATAATCCCCTAGACCTTAATTTCTTTTTGGCTAAAAGTCACTTTTGGTCCCTGTAGTTTGGCACTTCAATCACTTTTGACTATGTAGTTTCGTATTTGTTGGCTGCGCAAATCTCACGGCCTGGTGCTCCGGGCCGAGGGGATATGCGTCAACACGTGACGTCCTTCTTTTGGATGCGGTGCGGTTGTGGGCGGGCGTGCCAGCACGGTCTACTGTGCGTCGAGATGGTGATGCGGTTTGGATAAAATGGTTAAGTGGTGCGCCTGTTTGAGTTCAACTCCTAATCAAACGATTGTGGCCGAGAGAGGAACTGATCTTGGCCGTCAGGTTCAAGGCCTGAACTACAAGGTCGTTTAGTGGTGGTGTTGATGGTGGGTTTTGGGCGGTGCTCCGGCGGGTTGCTCGGAGAGCGACGGTCGTATGATATATGGGGTGGATGAGAGAGTAACAAAGATGGTGCTTTGGCGTCTTGAAAATCAAGGGTCGTATGATATATTGATGAATGAATTTTCCTTACAATCTATCACTACTCCTAGGAAAGCAAGTAAAAGTATTGAAAGTGCATTACAGGAAAATATAATTTGCTCCGTGGGAGGCTTTTGGTTTGGTGTTTGAACCCTTTGAATGTAGCTCGAGCTTGGTATTTATAGGAAGAGCTCTGGATGAGTAATCGATGCTAAAAATCTGCATGGTGGAGCATGATCAGAGCAAGTGGGTAGTCCAATCGACATTTGGGATTGTGAAGCATGGTGGTGTGACCCCATAAATCCCGGTAAATCTCGGGCGCCGCCCTGATCGTGGGTTCTGCACCCCTGGCCGTGGAGACGCATTTAATGCTCTGATAGCTGGTGACCTAATCTCTCAAGCTGTAAGAATTTTTGTAAGAATGTTTGTGCCTAACCACCCTGATTTCCTTTACCAAACCCTGACTTCAGTCACTTCCCTTCTTCCCTCGTGCATTAAATGCCTTTTTGTGGCTAGTGGGTTTGCTGCAACAGTCAGAGGCGTTACTTCATTAAATGAAGTGTGGGACCTTGTTGCCACGTGGTGATTTATCCTTGATATCTTCAGCCACGTTTCTTACGCCTCTCGGCCTCGGCCAATAATGCCGCGATCGCGAGATCGAGAGGATTCCCTCTTTGCAGCTTTTCCTTCGTCTTTAGGAAGGCAAAACGCCTGACGAAACGCCACGTTCTAGTTCATGAATAGGTGCTAGGGCCGAGAGGAAGCCCCTTCGATCAGTTTATGATCATGATTTATTAGGCACAAACAGTATTTGTAGCAATTCAAGGACAAGTTAGTATTCCTGTCAATTTCTTTGACAGTGTAAGGGGCAATTTCGTCAACCCAAAATCATTGAGCATAAAAATTCATCTGAAACTCCCATAATTTCATATTAGGGCTTGAAATTGGTCATTTGGGTTTAGGGTTCTTCAAAAATTGGGATTAGTGGTTGAATTTTGAGCCCTAATATGAAATAGGGGAAAATTTCAGACAAGCTTTTACTCTCAGGGGTTTTGGGACGATGAAATTGCCCCTTGCATCGATAAAGAAATTGACAAGAATACTAACATGTCCTTGAATGCTACAAATACGAAACTACAATGCCAAAATGGACGAAATTGAAATTACAAGGTCAAAAGTGGTTGAAATGCCAAACTATAGGGACCAAAAGTGACTTTTGGCCTTTTTTTTTTATCAACTACGTCCTCTTCAATAATATATTAAAGCCATTTGATAAAAATTTAAAAAAAATACTCCGTTTCAATTATGTATATTAATCCCAAAGAAGAGAATATGTTTATTTTAATTTTATTAACGGTGGAGGGATGATCGGTTCATAATTGTATATCATTTTGTACCCTTCTAACTTATGATTTGGTTATGTTTTTGAGTTAAACTTGTGCTTTTAATCCTTTTTGTGTTTATCTTTCAGTTAATTGACATTTAGGTAACAATGATGACTTTGGATAGGAAATGATGCAATCCATGCATGTTAAGGCTTGATTTGGGTGAATGGAAGAAGGGCTTAAAGACAAACACATTTTGGCTACAACTCCTTTCCAGCCCAATTTCGTAGGTCAGCTTCTTGGCCTTGGATCAGCATGCTATGGGGCTTGGATGAGGTGAAGATCTTCATGAAACTTGTTCCAATGGGTGTCTAGTACAACATATCCAAATTTCAGCCCAATTGGACATTTGTGGAGTGCTCAGCCCGCCCAACACTCAACCCTGCTCAGGAGGATTTGCAGCTGCCAGCTTTGAGCCTTGTCTCCTCCTTTAAGCCATGTGCCTCACCCATGCTGCAACTGACTTTGCACCCAGCATAATGAGTGAAGTGGGGAGGCATTCCAGCTATGAAAGTCTAAAGGATCAAGTTGGTACATGCTGGAGTTATTATAGAGAAAGCATGTGCATGCATGTAAAGCATAAATGAAATGAAGTCAATTCCAGTCTCTGTTCGGCAGCCAAATTGAAAGGCCCAAAACGCATACTTCTACTGCTCCGATGGGAATACTGTCTTCATAGAAGTTGTTCCAATGGGTGTCTACTATAACATATCCAAATCTGAGCGCCATTGGATAAGTTTTGAAACCTCTGGCCTTCCTACACCAAGACTGGTGCAGAAAACTCGTTTTTCAGCAACCAAAAGGCAACCACATGGGTTGGCAACCAAAACGCAACCACATGGGTTGGCAGCAAAGGCAGCCACAACTGATCACCTTTGAACCCATGTGAAGAAGCTTGAGGTGCAGCAAAAGAAGTATGGGATAAGATTGATTCCAACCACACTAACATAGACAAGATAAAGTGGGAGTTATGGGTTGTATTAAATGAGGAATGGTGGTGTCGGATTTCATCATGATGTTCCTCCCTCTTAGCCCTATAAATAGAGAAGCCTTCAAGCTTCAAAACACACCCCAAGGGGGGGAGCTCTCAAACACTTCTCTAGAGCTCCCTTCCCTTCAATTTTTGTAACAAATTGATTTTACTAAATTTTCCTTAAGTTTTTCAAGTTCTACTTTACTTTTATTTGTAATGTACATTCTTTCTTAAGTATTCAAGTTTAATTAGTTTCCAAGTTTCAATTATGATTTTTGTTCTTATTCATTATGCTTATAAGTTAATAGGCTAGTTTGAATGATTGATCACCATTTAGGCTTGCATGTTAACTATCTTGGTTTGAATTAAGAGTAGAGGACTTTGAACCCAAAGAAGAGTATGTTGATTACCGTGAAGCAGACAAGACAACACAAGAAAGTGCCCACTGTTAACGGCTGAGATCCCGTGATCAACGTAATTGACCCTAGAATGGACACAAGGTGTTGATGATCAAACAGCTTGAAAGTGCTATTATAAATGAAAGCGTAAAAGGAAGAAAAATTGGTCTGGTTGTGTTGTCCCCATAAAAATAGGGATTATATTCTCATTTTGGTTTCAATTTAAAACTTTTAAATATACAAATTTGTTAATTTATTATATTATACTCATTTAATAAATCATTTCATTTCTAAATAATTTCAATTTTTTTTTTAGATTAATGGCCAAAGGCCAAAGACTTTATTCATAAATAGAATTAAGAGAACAAATGATCCTGAAGGTAAGAGTGAAGCCAACTAGCCCTCTTCCATCCAGTAAAATGTCTCGTTACAATATGAAGTAAATTTGGCTAATTTGTGAACCACAAAATTAGTTGGTGTTGCAAGGATATTAATGTGAAACAACAGAGTAATTCTTTCAATTTCTCTATCAACTCTCCTTGACTATGCGTTTATACATGTATAGATTAAGGGCTAGTTTGAGATTGCTGTCACTTTTAAAAAAGTTACTTCTAATGTGCTTTGAAAATAATTACTTGTAATGTTTACTGTAAGAGTTTGGAAATTCTTGCTTAGCTTATGGGACTACAGAATCAATTAAATTAACAAAAAACCAAAATTTGCCAATACAATTCACAGTGTGATCAGATCAGTAAAAACTGGAGTAGAATAGAATTGAAGCTTCTCTTGATATTTTAACTGTTCATCTCATAGAAAAAGTCTAAAAGGTCCCACAAAAGTCATCCATCATCTAGAAGTCAATAATTCTCACATGTGGACACGTTTGGTGTCTGCAATAAAATTCTTTCCTCAAACTCCACATGTTCCAGGAAATTCATTCCACCAGATAACTTAAATTGAAATCGGACAAACTCCGAACACTATATATAACACACCGCTCTTCCTTCATTTCCAGAAACAACAACCTCCGCTTACAAGTTTCAGCCTACAAAACCAAAGCCACAATACAGAGAAATTTGCTTCACTTTTACATCAAAAAAGAAAAAGGAAGCATGGCTGAGAAGAACCAACAGGTTTATCCTATAGCACCGGCAAATGGTTACACAAGAAGCGATGCAGAGTCTTTGGAATCCGCTGATGAGCTGAAACGCAAGAAGAAAATCAAAATGGCCATCTATATTAGTATTTTCGTTGTGTTTCAGATCATAGTTATCACCACAATGAGTCTCACTGTGATGAAAGTCAAGACCCCCAGGTTCAGGCTAGGCAACATCAACGTCCAGAGCTTCGAATCTGTCCCCGCAACGCCTTCATTCGACACGAAATTCACAACCCAAATCAAGATCAAGAACTCAGCCAACTGGGGTTCCTACAAGTTCAATGCTGCCAATGTCACGTTTCAATACCAAAGGGCAAGGCTGGATGGCTTTCGACTATAAAAAGAAATGCGGAGGTGAGTTTGAATTCAACTGCAATAAATAACTCAAATCTTGGAAGTGATTTGAGCAGCGGGGTCTTGACGCTCAACAGCGTAGGAAGATTGAATGGAAAAGTTGCAATTATGTTCATCATGAAGAAGAAGAAGGCTACCAACATGAACTGCACCATAGCTTTTGATGTGGCAGCCAAGGCGCTCAAATCTTTACAATGCAAATGATTAGATTTGCGAGATCAAGATTGGTTCTTAATTTGTCATTTGTTATTATTTTGCCCTTGTGTACTCCTTGGATTTGTTTTATACGATTGAATATAGAAACAGATGCTTACTTATCTTCTTCTTAATTGAGTCCAATCACAAAATTCTACTAGAATTATATAATTTTGAACACTTACATGACAGAAGCAGCGTGAAACCAACTTATATATGTTGGATTTGATTGACTTCAAAATTGGAACAAATTGGACTAGATAAGTAAGCTTAACGGATTGAATTAGATTTGAACAACCCTATAAAAAAGGTGGGAGTAAAAAAAAAACCATACTTCTTAAAGCGCGCGCTCAAGCCTTGCCAACATAATGCAAGACTGGACTTGAGTATTAATTTGTTTCCTCTGTTTCTCTTTGGTCAGACTCTTTTGGGTTGTTGTTCTTTGCGTTCTGAGTTCAAATGTGCGCCATTCCCTGTTTGGTGGTGGTTTCTGCTCTGCCTAGGGAGTTTGTTCCCTCGGTTTTGCTTGTGTTTCAACTCTAAACTCCCATCACGTTTCTTTGCTTTGTCTACTTCAACAATGGCTAGATTAAAGGAAATAAAGGCATTCATTGTCTTACATGACAAACAAACGCACAGGGGTGGCTTGACTTTCAGCATTAGAACAATGGGGATATGCTAGGAAAACAATGTTGGCGCGTTTTCACAAGTTCATACTCTTTGTTAGCAAATGTAAATCTCAAGGCTACATATTATCCACCCGGATTCTTCCTCAATACTGTTCTTTTTTATTTTTTTTGGTGTTTATTGGCTCTCTCCAAATGTAAAACTGAATTAAGCAAGTTTACTACAGTAGTTGTTGTGGGAATGTTGGCTTCTTCTGCGGGGAGAGTTAGATAAACTAATGAGTTTAGAGGAAATTATTAACCAAGCTTTCCAGAAAAATGCCGAAATGTAACAAACGCGCATAGTTTAGTGTTTTTGACTTAAGATAATACTTCTAGATGAAGAGCTTGGTCAACTTGTAGGTTCCTGCTTTAAAACGAAGCCTTTATGGTCACACAGCTAACAAAGAAAACGATATGCTATCTGATGACTTTTTGCAGATATATCCTCGTTTGTGTTGTCGATAAGCTTTCTATTATTCTACACTTTGTTTTTCCTTGTTTGTGTCGTGAGTAAATTAAATAGGCTTCCAATCACTTTCTGTACTAAAAATATGAGAAATGGTCTGTTGAAGGTTCTTACATATAATTTTCTCTATATTATTATAATAAGACCAAGCATCTAGAATACTTCTAGTCAAAAAATCAAACCTATGCGCGTTGTTGCATAAATTTAATTTCCAGGAAGCTGACATTCATCATTTCCTCTAAACACTATAAATACCACGCACAACTCTGCCAACATCACAAACAAAACACTCTTTGCTCAATTTCATACTTTAGAGTTCAGCCAAAAGCTTTTAAAAAAAAACTGAGCATTTTATTTCAAAGCTTTCTAGTGAAAGAAATTCAGATGGCAGAGAAGAACCAGCAATTCGCAGTGGCCAACGGCTACTCCAGAAACGATGCAGAATCTGCCACATTGCAATCCGAGGAGGAGCTGAAACGCCAGAAGAGAATCAAAATGGCCATATATATTAGTATTTTCGTTGTTTTTCAGATCATAGTTATTACCACAATGAGTTTGACTGTGATGAAAGTTAAGACCCCCAAGTTCAGGCTAGGCAGCAACATCAATGTCCAAAGCTTCGAATCTGTCCCCGCAACGCCTTCATTTGACATGAAATTCACAACCCAAATCAAGATCAAGAACTCCGCCAACTGGGGTTCCTACAAGTTCAATGCTGCCAATGTCACGTTTCAATACCAAGGCGTGACTGTGGGAGAAATTGATATCGCAAAGGGCAAGGTTGGATGGCTTTCGACCATAAAAAGAAATGCAGAGGTGAGTTTGAGTTCAAGTCTATTAACTGGTTCAAATCTTGGAAGTGAATTGAGCAGCGGGGTGTTGACGCTCAACAGTGTAGGAAGATTGAATGGAAAAGTTGCAATTATGTTCATAATGAAGAAGAAGAAGGCTACCAACATGAACTGCACCATAGCTTTTGATGTGGTAGCCAAGACCCTCAAATCTTTACAATGCAAATGATCAGCCAGCATTTAATTTTCGAAATGAAGACTAGTTCTTCATTTGTGATTCTATTTTATTTTATTTTATTTCATTTTTTTCATTTTGCTGTATGTTTGAATCCTTGGATTTGTTGGCTATATAAAATGGTATTGATTCATTTATTTTTAACCACTGAGGGCACTCCTGTATTTCCATTTTACCTTTGTTTTTATATCAATCAATAGTGAACACAGAAAACATACAAAATGCTTGATTTCCATAAATGCCAACTTGGAGTCTCAGAATCTGCAAATGTCCATGGAGATAACAAGTCTTGTAAGAATATTAGCAAGTTGGCAACCAAATGGACTCATTTAGTCTCATACAGAGTAGCTGTCAAATAAAGCTCCCAATATTTAATTAATGCGCTCATGAAATACATCCAACATAGTCACAGAAAAGAAGATGCTAGCAGCCAACAACTTGGCTAAAAGAAGAGCCTCCTTGAGGTAACCATTAAACAAGATTCTAAAGATAAGGTGGGGTGGGGTGGGGAAATAAGAGAAGGGAGAAGAATGGGCAATTTTAGGAACAATAAGGGGTGAGATGAGTAGATTTTTATTTTTATTTTTGTTTTCATATGGTGGGGTATAAAGATAGGGAGTGGGTGGTGGGGAATAGGAATGGAGGGTGGCAAAAGAACCACTCCGAAATAATTTTCTTTTCTCTTGTGGGAAACTTGTGTTGTCAAATATTTCAATAAAAATCTCGGGTGTACAGAGGTAACTAATCTTAATTACCACTTGAGTTATAAGCCCCTCACTTATCATGTATATTTTTCTCTATCTAACGATTGATATCTTAATTTATCCTTAATTATTAAAACATACGATCCCTTACTTCTCCTCAACAATTAGGTGAAAATTAATTAATTAGTAGCTTCACATGTTGAGTACAGCCTGTTTGAATAAAACTCATATTCACGTTCTTCACCTGGCTGAAGGGACAAAGTATATAATATCATATGGTCCCAATTGAATGCCATTGAAGCTTCAATAGATAAAATAAGAATACTTTTTCATCTTTTATCAAAAGCAATATCCATGCAACCATCTATAAGTCAAGAATCTCATCCAAGAGTGTTAGTATTCTCATTTGAAATATACAACTCCAAAAAAAAAAGGTCCTTTTGTTTCCAAGAAGAACTCACCTATACTTATTCCTTTCCAATTCAAGTAATACATGGCTAAGATGCGTTCTACCAAAAAGATCGATGTCCCGGTGAGTTTGAATTCGTATGGATTGCCGAGCAGTTCCAATCTGGCCACTGAATTGAAGAGTGGGGTGCTGACACTGGGCAGCAAAGGGAAATTGACTGGAAAGGTTGTGTTGATGTTAATGATGAAGAAAAGGAAGTCTGCTACCAAGAAATTATTTTTTTCCAACCCCTTTTTCTTTTGTCTTTTACTTAAATATCTGTATATCGAAACAGAGATGATTAATTAATTGCAATAATATAATATAGCTCCTAAGTTAATATCTGTATTAGATATTCAT